GGGGGGGGGGGGGGGGGGGGGGGGGGGGGGGGTGTGGTCGTGAGTGATTTCGATTGTTTTGTTGTTGCGAGCGTGAGGCTTCTAAATTCTTTCTTCTGGCTTTTTATTTTCAGTTGTGTTCGACGTGTCTTCACTTGACCCGGAAACACGTGCATGGGATGTACCATGCGCGTCGAAATGAAGGGAAAAAAATAGCATCACATCGGGAAAATTCGCAAATTCGTGCTACCTTTTACATTGTGCAACGTTATTTCTATGTTCCACCCAAGTTGGTGAGGACATATATCCCCTAGTAGACATTATATTAGACCTATGGAATCTAATGGAAAACGGTGGCACAAACTCATTTGAAAATCACTATGTGCGAGCAGACGCAGCTTTTTTCAGGGAAAGGGAGACCGGCAAACCGCTAAATCGAATATGAATGGTCTATCTCTAGCGATGCGCCCCTTTCTGACCCCCTTGTGGCACCGATGAACTTGCTGTTTCCCCTGAACAGTAGATTTTGCCCTAAAAAGGAAACACATTTGTTCTGGCAAGGACAGATTTCCTTCTAGGCGACCTGATCCGTCCGGGTTTCCGGCGTATTGGGTATCCGAGGTTACGTGTAAGATATTTCCTGTTTCATGATTACGTATGGAAAAAACTGTTTATGCCATTGTTATGGGCTTATAAGGCAGGCTCTAGCGGGCTTCTCGTCCCGTCTGCGAGTGAAGTGGGAATTCGTAAAGGAATGCCATGCAGTGTTGTCTCGCTGAGCTAGCTAGACGTTATCGCTCGTCTCATATTCATCCGCCATCAAATGCAAATTTGGATAATTGTACTGATCTGTAATGTTCGCCACTTTAGATACGCTAGGAATACTAGGATATAGAGTTTCCAGGATTCCGAATGAGATTTGGTGGTGGGATGGGTGCGGAACTACATTTTTGTGGCCTATATGTCATTCAAGATGGCTGCTTAGGTGGCTGATGGCTGATGATTCAAGTCCGAGCCACTTGTGTCAAGGTTTACGCATTCCTGTTGCCAACCTCTGTGCTTTTACTTTTCATTTCATTCGGAGGTGAATCTCTAAGTGTTCTCTAAGCCCAAACGAAGGGGAATTTTTGTTGAAGAAAATAAGTTGAACTAACTTAAGCCTGTCGTAAGTTAGGTTACTGTACTGATGACGTTAGCGTCAACTTTCGTTTAAGTTTGTCCAAGGCCTAGTCCAGTCTTAGGCCTAAACTTACTCAAGGCTACGCTTCACAGTTATAAGCCTGTCGTTCTTCCTCAGGTGTTTTTAAGTGCTGTTCATAAATTTATATTCTCAGGTTGTGGGATAGCCGTAGAATCGGACATAATCCTGTTTGGTAAGCCTCGGGTATTTAAAAAAAATGAGGTACCTGTGCCTTCTGAGAGGAAGGCGATGATTGATCTCTTGAGTGACACCGTTTCGTCAGTTGATACATCATTTGCATGGACATTGGAATCTTGCGCAGGTCAGTTATTTGATTGCATTTGGCTATGAATCTCCTAGGTTTTGCCTAGGCTTATTCAAAGTGAAGTTACACAGGAGAGTAATATTTTAACTTATTATAGCCTTGGCCTAATCCTCAAATGTTACATTAGGCCTTGTAGGCATGAAAATAGTTTTGGTCATAGTTCTTGGTCTAGTAATGGATCCACAAGCTAATATGGAAATTAGCTGATAAGCTATAGGCATATATCAGCCCAAATAACCTGGCAATTATATGGAGGGCAAATGCAGACTAATGGATCTAACAACATAGTTGATAGAGGTTGACGTAGAATTTGATGTTTATGAATGCTGGTCAAGATAGATGGCCATTGTTGGAGACTATATCAATGTCATGTTGGATTGAGATTACAACCAAGCAGTACAAATATATGGAATGCACTGATGACTTATCCTACTACTGCTCTTTACCATTGCTGTAATTAAGCATAGCTCTGGTTGCAAGCTGTTTTCCAATAAATTCAAAAGCAATAAACAAACCATATTGATGCACAGGTATCAAATGACTAGATTCTAAAAACCATGCAAAGTAGTAGGGATTGGTTTGCACGAGGTTATAAGCCTTGTGTGAACGTTTCCTTCCAAGTTTGAAATATTCCAGCTGTACCACAGTGATAACTAGTGATGATGTTGGATTTATTACAAAAATTGTTGAAGCTTGGTCCAAAATCACAATGCCTGCATAGCCTATTGCTAATAATCACCTGTCCAGCAAGTTTCCATGCTGTAGCTGTTGGGGGTGCAGAAGAATGTGTGAGACAAATTTTTAACTATATACAGGGGTAAGCCTATGGTATTCTATGTACTGGGTGGTATACAATATTTAGACTTCCTTTGGAGTCTGCTGGTATAACTTGCAAAAAATATTTTAATTTCTGGAAAGTACATTAGATTGTGTTTGTTGGCATGCCTTTGGAATTTGGTGTGTCCACCAGCAGCATTTCAACACATTTACAACTGTGAGGGTTAAGAATTTAATATTGTCTTGAAGAGGCAGAGTGATGTCATGAGTCATGTCTTCAAGTGCAGCAGTTTGGTGCTTGTCTGGGAAACCTCCAGTCTCCATACTCCTGGAGCATTCTTGAGCACAGAGCACAGGTTGCAAATGTTGATGGTGGGCTTGCTAAATTGTATATATGTCAGCAAGCTCAAAAATGTACAATCAAGAAATAAAAAGCTTCTCCTGTCAGAGTTTGATCAATACACTCTCTAGGGGGTTTGGCAAATGTTGCTTGCCACTCTGCATTTGTTGGTGTTCTTTTTACAAACTAAGTTTAGTTTGTTCATGTAATTTGTGTGTAATTTGGATCAAAGAGAACTGTATCATTATTTCCCCTGGTGTAAAATGATTAATACCTTGATCAAATTTGTTGGTTATCATGGAATAAAGAGGGCAGTGCTTGAAGGAACGAGAAGAGCATAAATATCTCTGAGATTCATGCTGTTTGATGGATTGCTTATGACTATGATGAGAATGAAGGTCCAGCTGTCTTTGGGCCAGCAGACAAGAACATTTAATAATCTGTATATGCATTTGTATATGCGATCTGTCAATGCAGCCTTTGACCTGGCTTTGTTGTTGGTTTTTTTTTTTTCATTTTTTTCTGCAAAAAAAATTCCATTAACCACAGAAATATGGAAGCCCCCAAAATGTTTAGTCCATAGTTATTAATATTGGTAGTGGTAGGTTTTAAGAATTCTTGACACAAAGCTGGTCTTTATAACCTTCTATGCATTTACAGATCTGGATTGATGAATGCGCAACCTCCCTCAAGTCTCCAGTGGCCAATCATCATAGGAGACTCTGGAATTCCTATGCACCATATCCAACGCATTGTAAGGACTGTTGTCCTCAGGCGAGATGGAGGAGGCTATGGTCTGACAGTGTCTGGAGAGAATCCTGTATATGTCATAGATGTTCGAGAGGGTGAGTCTGTCTGGTTCCCAATGAAGCTCTTTGGAAAGCTTTAACTTTTAATGCTGGTCTAACTTGTTTTTCTGGATATTTGCAAGTGAGTCAAGACCTTTGCTGTAGTGGGTTGGTCCAGGAGCTGGTACTATTGAAATGAAGTTGTTTTTGACAGGAGCATTGGAGGCAAAGCATTCTTAGAGCTTTGGAGAGTTCCCTATTCTATTATTCAGTTTGGCAGATGGGGATAAGATATTGGAAAGGCTGAGACAACTTTCATTGTTGTAAATTCCCAGTCAGTAAAAAATTGCAAAAACCATCATTCTTGGTAGTAGTCAAAACATTTGGGGGGGGGTCTTTGCTAACTACATTTTAAAAAGGTAACAGCTTCTCATGAGTAAGAAAGTCACAGTATCTATACAATGCAAAGGTTGAACATACCCATTTCTCTAGAAATATATTTCCCATATGCTTAAGGTACAGTATATGCAATTCATATGGTATGATCATACTCAAACAGCATGGTGACATCCCAGGGATGTCCCCATCTGAACAACTTGTCCCAAGGTCTTTATGGGATATTTTAAGGGCATCTTCAGTTGGATGGTTTCTGACATCTTGAAAGGGACTTTGGGACTTCTTAGAGATGTCTTTTAGACATCATCAGTTGAAGAATACCATACGGAATAACACTTTAAAAATAAGTGGTTGTTCAGTATGGCAGGAAATGAGTCTGTTTCAGAAAGGCACCCATATATTTTGATATTGTTGAGAAGTCCTTAGTAGTTATCTCAGGGACTTCTCACATGGGATATTTTTGGGATGTTCTTGTGCTGTGTTGGAAGTGAATGGTTTTCATACTCTCACAGAAGTGACAGATGAAGTGTCAAATCTCACCTTAGTTCCTGAAACTATTTTTGACATTAGGGAGGGACTTGTGAGAGTAACATGATTTCATATATGTTTCATACCTGATTTGGTCATGTCTCTTACCAGGTGTGACATATATGGCCCCCCCATGTACTAGGTAGACTTACTAAGTCATACAAGTAACTTATCTGCTCCTCCATGTCTTTTACATACATGCTTTTTATAAAATTCTTATATGGCCTTGCCATGTATGATCATATACTCATTGTTTCAATAAGAAGATATGATCAGATATTTTCCTCCAAATATGTTCATATACTATCATATATGATTGACCATATATGCCAATTTCTCACAAAATCATATGATTTTTCCATATGGGTAAACTTAAAAATGGCAGGTAGTCACAGAACCCTTTAAATATTTCTAAACTGACATTGTGCTATCCTGGTCCAATTGAATGCTGAATGATGGCCCTTTGAATTTATTCATGAAGAGCATTGAAACTAGTGCCAGGAGCTGTGGCCTTTGACCATGCATCAGAAATCCTAAACAATTTTGATTCTGATTGGTTCATTTATTCAGTTTTTATTCAAGCTTGTTTTTTTTCTGTCTTTGAGTTGTCTTGATGAGTGTCTGCCCCCTCATAGGAAGTGCTGCTGAAAAAGCTGGTGTAAAAACTGGAGATTACATTCTGAAGGTAATGATATTATTGCCTGGTTTTCCTTCAAAGGATACTCTTTTTCTCTCCAACTTCAGCTTGGTGCTTAGGAGACTGAGTCAATCCTTTCCCTTTATTGCTTGTTCCCTTGGTTTTCCTTCATCTTGGTTTGTGGTTGCATGCCATTTTCTTAGTTTCCTCTTTGGTTCTAGGTGGTGTAGCTGCTCGAGCAGGAGTTTGTAAGTATGACGTCCTCCTCCAGGTATGCAATATGAATGCTTGCATACTTTCTGAGGTTTTTCAGATTCTATTATTAGCATGTTCCATTAACTACCACTTAGTGAAACTCTGTCACTTTATACTGGTATTTCTGTTAACTGGTGCTTTTCTCTCTGAATCTCTTGGCAACCTATTTTTGCTTGATTGATTTTTACAGATATGCAAAGCAGATGGTTTGGTTATTTTGTTGTTAAAATGACTCAGATGGTCTATGATTGCACCTAGTGAAATTGCTTTTTTTCACTTTTGAAAACTTACTTCTCAAAACTATAGCAGGAATACATAAAACATTTTCACCTACCAAAAAACAACCGAGATGGATAATGAAGTGTGTGCCTGCAGTCAGAATTCCTGAATGCTGGACATAATGGCACAAAATTGAGGATCTCAACTAAAACTAGGATGAAGGCACAGCATTACCCCCTTCAGTGTTTTTTAATGTAATTTTATGCATCTTTCTCCTTCATGCCCTTTGTTTTTGACACAATATCGTGTGTCTGCAGCATTGCCTTGTGAACTGTTTTCATTATAACATTACATGTGTTGGGTGCTTATCCTGTTACAGGATTTTGCATGCCAGTGCACAGACAGAGACGTGGCATTTGAAAATTAAATCACATCATGTAGACCTGGCTACTGGAACTGAAAAACCTAAGGGTTAATGAAAAGAATATACCTGATTACAGTCTTGTAAGCATTTTGACTATTGATTTATGGTGATTGCCACAACACTTCACTTGGCTCAGAGTTTGTCGCATCATATTCTTCTCATCATAGTCACCATATTCTTAGTTTTAGTAGGTGAATACCATGACCATAGCCATGGCAGACTGTTGGAATTTTAAATGCTTGTAATCTTGCATACATGAGCTTTCTCAATAAGCTGATGTCATTACATTTGATTCCTGGTCACTCCATCATCATGATACTACATGTAAAATTGTGATTTAATATGGTTTACAAAGTTATCAAAGTCTGTCCAAGTAGAAATTCAATTTGAGAAAAGGGTAGGAATTGGAATTAATTTTTAAGGCTAGGTTATGAAAAAGCAGGATTTTTTGCAGATGATTCAAAGTTTCTACTGGGAACATAGTATGTGCTTTGAAAATAAATTTATTGAGTAATTAACTTTCTGAACTATGTTGGAAGTAGACTCCCTTAACTTATAGTTGCATACAATTTTTGAAAATTATTTCTAAAACACACTGTGTTATGAGTTCAACTCACCCCTTCTCTTCTATGTTCATTTCCAGGTCAATGGTACTCCAGTGCGTGAAGAAAATCATCACAATGTTGTTGGGATGATCAAATGTGAGTTTCTTCCCTTGTGTACCTCTGGAGGTCATAATATTTTAAGGGATTGAATTTATTTTGTCTTATTCTATTTCCCTGTAACATGCTGAACCAGCTCAATGAGTCCTAGAAAGGGATTTGTAAATGTCAGAACGAAGGAGGAGGGGTCATGCTAAAATAAGAGAACTAGGGCAGGATTGATGCACCCTGTAGACTTGTGACCACATATTTATCTAAGGTTGAGCACTGTTGTTAGGTGTTGAGCCTGTAGTTGTATCAGGACAAGGCAGGGTAATAGAAAATATGAATAGTAAATCATTGCTCAGTTGTTGAAAGTTATTGTATGGGCAAAACTATGCAGTGGAAAGGAAAAGAGCAAGAATTAGTTCTGTAGTTGCTGAAAAATAGGAAGCATCTCATGCACACACCAAAGGATGAGTAGAGGTTGCCAGTTTCTGTCCACTAGGTAGGTTGTCTGTAGGTGCAATTAATTTTATGGAGTGTATTATGTATTCCAAAAATAAAAAGTCTTTATTCTTATCATCATAAGAGCCTACAGTAAGACTTCCTTCAGTCATATTAATGACTGGAATTGGGGTAGCAGGTGTTATTGCATCAACAAGGTATATGAGAGTGAAGATTTGTTTGCTGTTTTGGAGGTGTATATGTCAATGTTTATTTTTCCTTCCTTGCTCTGGGTTTTATAAGTTGAACAATTTTATGATTTTGAGGTGGAATGCATCTCAAACTTCCAAAACTCAGTATAACTGTTATTCATGCCATGGGGTACTGATAACTAGTACTGATGTTCCTCATCTTAGAATGTGAAAATTCACCCCTACCAAGTCTATTCATCATGAGGTCAGTAGGATGTATTGGATGAGGAGGTGTTCCACTAGTGATGAATTTCAAGATATGCAAGCATCTTCATTTTTGCTCATGTACTCTAGCATCCACTAGCACTTTAGCATCTAAGGTTTACTAGATTTGGTGTCTGAGTGGTTTGGGTTTTTTACTTAAAACCTGGAAAATAAGGTAGGGTGATTGCTGCAAATGTTGGCACTCAAAGTGAATTTTTCACTTCCACCTTGCCTGGTGGTTTTCGTAATTGAGCTTCCTCGTTCATGTTGGGTCGGATGACACCTTTATTATAAATCTCCTTGTACCGCAAACCTCGAATGCCCCAGGCCTTTCCTTTCCAAGGGCCTGGGTCAAAGGTGAAGTTGGGTCAGATGTTGGCAATCTTGGCACACTATCTGGTATAGACGCCATCGCCCTGTCTGGAAACTTAACACAACTATGTATCACTGTCATTTACAACAGACTCAAAAATGAATGCACAGACATTATAAAACAATACTTAATGTGGAAGAGAAGAATGGAATGAGCCAAAGCCTAGCAAAACCACCATATTTTGCAGGATTTTCAGAGTGTGCATAGAGAAGGTAGCTACTGCGAGAAAAGTACAACAGCAAATATGGATGTTCCAAACCATGTTAACAAAATTAGTCCTACCATATGAGAATACTTATCTACCTGTGCCTAGGGGACTAGTAGTGGAAGCAGAATTTTAATGATGGCAAAGTGCTGAGATTACCCCCAGTGCTGACATTTGCAGCACTTACCCTATAGGTGGGAGCTTCTCTCTGCCAACCAACAATCCATTTGCTTTCTAGGGGAGTATCTGCCTTGCATTGAAGTAATCAACATGAAACTCTGTGCCATAAACAGGAGATATAGGTGTAGTACACACATATCTCTTGTCCAAGACTGGCATGAGGGATAAAAACTTGTTGTGCCAGTTTTGGGTTGAGACAACCTGTGAGCTGTCCCTTGACATCTTATATACAGTAAAACTTGCCTTAGCTTATATGCTTGGGGCCAAACCTTGCTATAAGGTACTGGAGGTTATAAGCTATCAGAGGTTTTACTGTACTATGGAGGGGAATTCCTGCCTTTGGGACTGCCTATGTGTTGTGGGGTCTTAGCCCAGAATGCAACCCCTTCTATATGTACTGGAACTGAATAAATATCCTGTCACATATTTCTTCTTTGGTTCAGCAGGAGTATGCCTTCTATATTAAAGGCATTGTACCATTTCTTATGTTGAGCTTTGAACTCTGATCTTAGAGCCCTGAATCTTCCAAATATCTGACCATGTGGACCTGTTCTCATTTTTTTTTATAGCTGAGGAGCAAGTAACATTGACCCTTTTGAGTGTGGTGCAACCTGAGGTGCCTACAGCAGTCATGCCAAGCAATCCGTCATTGCCAGTACCTCCTCCTCTCCCCCCACCCAATCCAACACACAGTTCCCCACCTTCACGTCCCCTACCACCACCTCCTGAGTCTGCGGCACCTTCCACTACTTCTCGTGCTTTGGAGAAGAACATCACTGGGCCTCAACCCGTAGATGTAAGAAATCAATTTCTATAAAGTGTTGGCATAACAACAAAAGATTTTCAACAGAGTTAATTGCTCAAATACTCAAATCTGAATAATTGTTGACTTTCAATCAGTCAGTGGTTCTGTCACTAAATCCATCAGCCAGAAGCCTTACCTTGTCTGGTATATTGCATTCCCCTTTAGGTTTTTTTGTTATTCCACCTTGTCCATTCATTTTATTGATTTTTTTCTGGGTTTTGGAATGCCCATCCCTGTATTGATCAAGATTTAGAAGCCATAAAGAATCCATATGATTATGAATTGTGCTTTGAACAAAAAAGGCATAATCTACTCCCTGGCTAACTGTTGTTTTGTCCTGATGGGTGTCTTCAGTGACAGTCCTTATAGTTCTCACACTGTAGCATTTTATGCTTGAAGTGACAGATTGTCATGTTCCCATGTCATTTGGCTGCATGATCTCCTATTCCAAGTCATTAGAATTAAGCCTATAAGTGTGGAAATATTTCCCCCCTATAGCTGCAGAATCTCTGATTGCTCAAAATTCTTTATGGTTTACTCAATAGCTCTCTCATGAGAGGGGCTAAATGCTAAGCACTCTTCTGCTTAACTAGATTATGCGGTGTTCCTATATTCATATTTATCTTTGTCTAGTTCCTGGCCTTGTTAATAGAGCTGTACTTTCCTTGGCTGCCTTTATTGTAAAATTCCCTATTCCTTTGTTCCCATGGTGGTGTTGATCTATGACTGCTGAGATAAGAGGTGGCGGGCTTGATAATGTAAGCCTGCACCTTATCCTGCTTAGCAAACCTGCCTCTCAAACAGTCCAATCAATAGGTATAAGGTTAAAAGTTCTGTTCTGGCAGTGCTGACATTGATGTGAAAGTGAAGTGAATCAATCCCACCATTATGCGACTTCATCCACCATTCACCAGGCGCAAGAATTTCCCTGTATGCTAGTTCTAAATTCTTGCATTGTTTGATGTTTGTATGTGTGAGATAGAGATGACATTTACTGTCCTTTTTTCAAAACCTATGACTGATGCTGCACTGCATCTGATGGTTTGGGAGCTGAGACTCGAAGTTGTGTAACTTGCTGTTACGCAGCTTGTCAGTGTCCAAAGATTAAATCAATGGTGGATAATACAGCTTTGTGATTAGATCCCTTATTCTCATTATTCTAAAGTTGAGTCAAGGTAATAATGATCTCCAAAATGTTTTTTGTCAGGTGGAACAGCTAAGACAGGTCAACAACCAGAAGGAGAGAACCATCAGTATGATGCTGGAGAGAGAGATGCTACATCGTGAAACAGTTGCTGCAGATCTCGTGCTTTGGAGAAGAACATCACTGGGCCTCAACCCGTAGATGTAAGAAATCAATTTCTATAAAGTGTTGGCATAACAACAAAAGATTTTCAACAGAGTTAATTGCTCAAATACTCAAATCTGAACAATTGTAGACTTTCTATCAGTCAGTGGTTCTGTCACTAAATCCATCATCCAGAAGCCTTACCTTGTCTGGTACATCGCATTCCCCTTTAGGTTTTTTTGTTAGTCCACCTTGTCCATTCATTTTATTGATTTTTTTCTGGGTTTTGGAATGCCCATCCCCCTGTATTGATCAAGATTTAGAAGCCATAAAGAATCCATATGATTATGAATTGTGCTTTGGACAAAAAAGGCATAATCTACTCCCTGGCTAACTGTTGTTTTGTCCTGATGGGTGTCTTCAGTGACAGTCCTTATAGTTCTCACACTAGCATTTTATGCTTGAAGTGACAGATTGTCATGTTCCCATGTCATTTGGCTGCATGATCTCCTATTCCAAGTCATTAGAATTAAGCCTATAAGTGTGGAAATATTTCCCCCCTATAGCTGCAGAATCTCTGATTGCTCAAAATTCTTCATGGTTTACTCGATAGCTCTCTCATGAGAGGGGCTAAATGCTAAGCACTCTTCCACTTAACTAGATTATGCGGTGTTCCTATATTCATATTTATCTTTGTCTAGTTCCTGGCCTTGTTAATAGAGCTGTACTTTACTTGGCTGCCTTTATTGTAAAATTCCCTATTCCTTTGTTCCCATGGTGGTGTTGATCTATGACTGCTGAGATAAGAGGTGGTGGGCTTGATAATATAAGCCTGCACCTTATCCTGCTTAGCAAACCTGCCTCTCAAACAGTCCAATCAATAGGTATAAGGTTAAAAGTTCTGTTCTGGCAGTGCTGACATTGATGTGAAAGTGAAGTGAATCAATCCCACGAGTATGCGACTTCATCCACCATTCACCAGGCGCAAGAATTTCCCTGTATGCTAGTTCTAAATTCTTGCATTGTTTGATGTTTGTATGTGTGAGATAGAGATGACATTTACAGTCCTTTTTTCAAAACCTGGCTTATGACTGATGCTGCACTGCATCTGATGGTTTGGGAGCTGAGACTCGAAGTTGTGTAACTTGCTGTTACACAGCTTGTCAGTGTCCAAAGATTAAACCAATGGTGGATAATACAGCTTTGTGATTAGATCCCTTATTCTCATTATTCTAAAGTTGAGTCAGGGTGTAATAATGATCTCCAAAATGTTTTTTGTCAGGTGGAACAGCTAAGACAGGTCAACAACCAGAAGGAGAGAACCATCAGTATGATGCTGGAGAGAGAGATGCTACATCGTGAAACAGTTGCTGCAGAATTGCAGAAAACTGTTGGTGGTGGAAGGAGACGAGCTGATCTCCAACGAGAGCTTACTAGTGCTGATAGACGAATTCGCCAGCTCAATGAAGAGCTTCGAAACTTTCACAGTCGAGGCCGAGACTTGGTGGTGAGTCATCTGATGAACCCTTGGTGGGGCAGACTTTATAGCAGTGTCAGCATTTGTTTTACCTACCCTACTTACTAAGATTCCTTAAATCCCTTATAAAGTGCCTTTCAAATTGAACTCAACTTTACACTTAATTTCAACATATCTTAGGAAGAATCAATTCTCCTAAATGCACCTGCATGAAATAGATTTAATGAAAACTTGCTAGTCTTTATTGAAATTGTGCCAAACAAATTTGGAAAACACTAAGAATCATGGATCATAAAAACATGACGTTTGTTGGAAGTACCACTGGTTTTCTGATTTTTTTTTTAGCTGGGATCCTCAAACAGTCCGCCAATGCTGAGGCGTCACAGCAGCAGGGAAGAACCAAATGGAGAAGACATGCCTCCCCCATTGCCAGCTAGGAACCGTCTCATGACTCGTGTTTCCTCTCCCGCCCTCTCAACTCTTGAGACCCCTGCCCCACCACCTGTCCCTCCACACAGAGATGAAGCACTGATCCAGAAAGCCTCCTGTACCTCAGCTGCAGATGCCAAAAAGATTGTGAGTATAACATATTGTACACTGATAAAAAGGAGGTATTAGCATGAATCATGAAGTTTTGTTTGCCACAGCAGAGTGCCTTTAGGCACTTTCATTAAAATGCACCCACTGCAGGAACTGAAACCTGAGTAGGCCATGCAGTATTCACTCATTGTCAGTGGTGGCTCATGATATTTAGCTAGTGATTCATCTATGGAGAGGAGGTTGGCAGCAACTCCCCCTGCCTACCCCCTCTATCACGAGCTGCCACTGCTCATTGTAGGTTGGATATATTAACCTCCTAGACCAAAGACCCAATGAGCTGGTTTAAATGTCAGAACAGATTAAAACTCTGTAGTCTAGACATGGTAGGGCACCCCTGTCTCCCATGGCTGCCTCTTATCCTCCATCATGTCTCTGCCCTTGCCTACACTGTTTTTGGAATGAATTCATACACCCCCCCATATGAATGCTTCCATCAATTGCAGGTAGTAACACCTTCCACAAGGATGGTTTTTTGTATTGTCCAATGAAGTGGACTCACTGGAAGTAGTGCTTTCTCCATTATCCACTACCCAGGGGGGGGTATGCATTCATCCCAAGTCAATGTGTTCTTGTGCTGTTGTCTTAGGGCTCAAAGCAATGCAAACTCCTAAAATCTAGTCCTTGTTTCTGTGATCTTGACCTATTTGTCCTTTTATATATTTTGGATCTCTTGTATTTTTTTTTATATATTGTCTTTTATTTTTTCAACACTCTTTGAACTCTAGTGCCAGTGCAGGACCCCTCTCCCCCACTGTAACCATTAACCCTTTCCCATCAGTGGGCATATAATGTCAAGACTTTCCTGATCAGTGCCTGTGGTAGTGTGAAAAAAAAAAGAAGTATGTCATGTCAAGGAAAGGTTAACTTGCCCATATTCAACCTCAATGCCCAATTAAACCTATTCCCTGGCATGACCTATTAATTATATACAATTATATACACCACCCAAGGTGATGCTTGGGTAAGTCTTGATGTTTTAACACCTCTGCACCAGGGAAATGGTTAATGTCTATAGAATTGGTGATCCTATGGTATTCGTGGATGTACCTTAAGAGTCAAGTTGGCCCATTATCTCAACAAAGTGGCAGAGCTACTTGAATACCAGCACTTTTTACCTGTCATAGTAACCAAACTGTTGCATACTTACTACATGTTTATATTATTGTAAGTATCACATGTTTGTTCAGTGACATGCATTATTTTTATTTCTAATCTCGATGATTGAATAGCATTGACATTAAATGCCATATTTTACAGGGGAATGGAATGCCATCCCACCAGAGAGCTAAATCTAGTCCAGATCATTTGGGAACCTCGCACAGTGCTGAGAACCTCTCTTCTGGTACCCCATCAGTCACTTCTTCCAAACCTGTCAGATCCAATTCAGATTTCTCAGGTATGCTTAGCAATCAGTACTTAGGTGCTGTTATGCACCTTTCTGTTGACTACTCTTGAAGACTACTTTTGACAACTCTTTGGTTTTATGACTAATATAATTGCTTTCCTCTTTCTTTGAGAGCAGGAAGCAACAAATTGAACTCCTCAGAATCAATGGGAGACTTGCCGAAAGGAAACAAGCAGCGCCCAAGGTCTCTGGTGGGGCAGACAGAGACTTCTCCTCCTAACACACCAGTTGGGAGACTGGGACACACTCGCAAAGGCTCAGAAGGCCACTTCTCAGAGGTTTGAGACATTATTTTCATATTTGCTTTGCTATTCAAATTGCAAATGTTGAACTCACCTAATGCTTACCTGAGATTCTCTTATGTCAAGCTATTGCATTCTGCATGAAGTTTTTCACCTGTGATCATAATCAAGAGACTTGTTTTCAGCATCAATAATTGAATGCTATTTTTAGTTGTGCTCCATAAAATTTTCACATTTGTTGGAGCTGACAGGTCCTATTGACAATACTATTGAATATATGAGTAGATGGCAATCCCAAAAACAATCATGCATCAACTCCTTAATCAGGGAATTTCTCAGACAGAAGTCTACCACCAGAACCAGAACTTTCTTTCATGAGAGCAGTAATTATTGTTTCTGTAAGAATCTTATTACTCTTTTTTGAGTTTGTATTTAACTCAAACTCTAAATATAGCATGACCCAAAAAAAAAGTCAAACCCACATGGTTGCACCATAATGGATATATACATCAAACCCACTTAGGGGGTTAATCTGCTGGTATCTGTTCATAATATCTTGGTGCTGGGAAGTATTCAGCATGTTTAAGGCATACTCAGAGGAATGAGCTGGTGATGACATGCATGGTTTTGGCTATGGGGGTTGTATTGACAGGGGGTGCCTGGTGGAAGTAGGCCTGCACCCTCACCCATCCTGACCTCCACGCCTGAGCAGCAGCACTGTGATTCCAAGGTGCCTTTGTCTGTCAGCCCTCCTCAGGTGATTTCTGCTTTATTTTTTTTGCTGCACTTCTTGCTGTACATTACACTTGCTTGTGCTTGCAAGGATAACATGTGCTAATTCTCTGATGGATTTGCCCTATTAATATGTTTAGATTTTATTAATACTTGCTTCGTTCTTTCATGTGCAAGGAAAGTGGTTTTTTTTTTGGAGAAGATGAATAATTATTTAGCAAAAGAATTTGCTGATGTGAGATATTTATACATATTGCAAAGAAAAAAATAAATTTTGATTCATTTATATTAATACCATGAGAATCTAATCACTCATTATCAATCATATATATTTCCAAATTTCTGGAAGGTTCACGGAAGGAAATATATTTATGCATTCCTTCCTATTCCTTATATTTTATTTTTCCTCTCTGCTTCATGCTTTAAATGGCTCCATTTCTTACCTGATTTGTTCAATCATTTGTCAGGTAATTGGAACATCGCCTTGGGATTCGTCCAATTCGCCAGTGCTCAATTTTGGAACCAATCAAATACTTTCTTTTGAAGAAGAATCAGGTGGTTCTGATTCTGAAGTGGTGAGTTATATACTGGCTCCATGAATCATTTTTAATGCTATTGGCTTTTAAATGATATGGGCGATTGCAGAAAACATCTCAAGCTCCTTTTCTTGGTCATTTTTGTGCATGGAATGGGATTGCTGAGCAGGATGCTATTTAGGTGGAGGTTAATGAATATATTGTCATGTTTAAATTTCTATGTGAAGTGGTATTAAATGGTATTTGTGTTTGACACTCAGCTACAAGTCTCATATTTTGATAAACGACCATACATTTTACTTTTTCATTTAAATTTCACACTTATATATTTCTGGTTTTTACATAAGTTGGTCACATCTAATGTTCATTGCAAAAAAAATGTCAATGTAAACATAGGTGATTGTAGGGGGTGAAAAGAAGGGTGTAGTGAACTGAGAAATAGTAATTTACACAAAACTTGAAATCGAACATATGTATTAAAAAATTGTAAAACATATTTATGGGCATACTTCTCAAGGTATTTTTAAATACCTCATGCCATGACCTTCATTGCACAGTTGGTTTCTGTATCTCATTCCTGTTATCTACTCATATTTTGAGCTTCACATTAAATTTCATTCCAATGAATGGTTCACCAGTGAATTCCAGTTGATTATTTCATTCCTTTCTTTACCACCCTTGTCTTTAAAAAAAAAAATGGACATACCTATTAACCGTTTCCCTGGCATCCCATTATTCAGTTGACATCCTCAAAGTGTTTGGATATCCCTGCCAGGGAAAGGGTTAATTCATTAATTTATTGCTTTACTTGTTCTTATGAATAGATTTGTTTGCATATGTGAATCCTCTTTCTTATAGTGCCACATGACTGATGACCATGGGCCTTTCAACAGTCTTTCAAAACTAATGGACCACAATGCACATTTGGCTGTCTTCCTTAATTACCTTCTCAATAACTCTGATGCTTCTAGTCTGGTGAGAATTTCATACCTGCCCCCCTCTCCATGTTTCATGGGAAAGCTTCTCTAACTTCTTACTGTTAACAACTGTTCTTCCCACAGTTCTTTCACATCATCACTGATTTTTACAAAGAAGGGAATGTGAAGGAGATGCGCAAATGGGTGTATGAGATTCACTCCACATTCCTTGTTCCAAATGCAGTGAGTTTTGCCTATATATCATACTGATCCACCTTTTCCCTGTCATCACCCTTATGATTCCTTTGTTCTTAGCCTCTTCGATTGGCTGGTGTGGATGAGAATGTATTACATGAAATTGACAACGACATACAGAATAATCTGGACAAGGAAGAAAAGCTCAAAAATGTGAGTCACTCTTCCCAATCTGCATACTAAGGAGTGTTGGTTGAAATTTTCATTTGAGAGAATTCCATCTCTTTGCACTCTCTGATTCGAATCATTCTCGTTGAAGCAGATATTCTGGCGTGCCAAAAAGATTGCTCGTGGACAGCTTCGAATGCAATTGGCTGACTTCAGGAACAAGCGTGTGGAAGGGCTGGCTCATCTGTTTGGTGCAACAGATGCACAGCTAGATGAATGCCTTCTTCATAAGGAGAAGGAAGCAAAGGTTATTGAGCCCATCCTGTTGCCTGTCATCAAGGAATTGTGAGTCTCTCTGTCCTATTCCTGCTGATTTTGGCATCAACTTGAGAACAAGTGTTAATTTGGCTTGGTTTTTTCCCTCATTCATCATCAGGGATGATTTGGACAACCTGAAAGGGAGGGATTTGGCCATGGCATATGCCTTGGCAACTGTTTTGGCAAAACAGTATGGGCTAAAGAGTCCAGTGGTCAATGCATTCCTAGAACGATGTCCAACCTTCGTCAGCAAGGACAAGTCCTTTCGTTCGAAAATACTCAGCCGTGGAAAAAAGGTCTGCTTTCCAGTCTTTACAATTTTACTTTTTCTTGGTTTGTTCAGTACTACAGGTAGATGTCTTCAATTATGTTTTTGTTTATTGCAGCAATTGTCACTGCTGGGGCATCACTTCATCCCACAGCAGTTTTCTTGTGTCACATACTGTAATCACTGTACTTGTGTCATCTGGGGAATTGGGCCTCAGGGCTACCAATGCACTCGTAAGTTTTTTCTTCTGCCGTTTTTCTGGAAAGAACCACAGCAGACAATGTGATTCATGATGAACAAGTGCAGGCTGAATCTTTTGGCATTTAAGCCATTCATTGCATGCTAATGAGCATTTGTTTTGCATTCTAAATCCTTGCCATGAAAGAAGGAAAAGCCCATTCTTTTTCATCATTGAGACACTGTAGCATATTGGTGCTTGGGGAATGAAAAGGGTGTAGGCCCCCCCCCCCCCACCATCTCTCCTTGGAGCCATTTGGCTGCCCCCTGGAATAATGCGGTATCTGAAATCTTACTTGTACTGTGACCTTTTGAATAAGTGTACATGCTGTATCTTCCTTTTTCATGTATTTGACATTGTGAAATGTAGCTCAGTTTTGTTACAATTCTGACAACAGACCAGTTTCAAGGAATCAAGCCCATAAATACCAAGGGGATTTATTGATAATTTTCATTAAGTTATCCTAATTGACATTTCTGGTTGAGTGTCTATAAACTGACATAAAATTACCTAAATTATTTAGTATTAACTTCAGCTCCATCCAGCTTGTTAAAAAAAGCACTATTATTCGCATTTTCTCAATTTTCTTAGAAGGAAGAGAATCCTTTAGTGAGCTGACGTCGTATGAGAGTCTTATCATCCATAGATTTTCCTGTCAGAGAAATGTCTGGATTTCTATGCCTATGTACCCCCAGTCAATTAGCACTTTTTTCCTCTCTCTTGTCTCACTTTTCAGGTTTTCTAAATTGAGAGAAAGGGAACCATGGAGATGAGAAAAAATAACTCCATTCTCCTCTAATTTTCTTGTTTCCTAGGTTACGTATGTATCCATCCAAACCGTTTGAAAGGTTATATATTCCACAAAAAAAAACAGCACTCCCCCAGGGTTCTTCAGTGGATAGAAAATCCTCTATTCCTGTTCATCGTTCATAGTTCATGCCAGGGTCACGGCGAATCCAATATCGTTGGAAAGCTTTCTTCGTCTTCTTTCATTCAGTATACAATACGTGAGGAGTTGCAGGAGTCTTGACAGGGTGATCAAGGAAAGATGGATGAGTCCATGCTGTCTACTGTTTTCGATTGGCCACTTTTTTTTTGGTGTGGCGTATTAATATATGTGCTCCAGAAAAGGCTTAACCTTTTCTTTTTTTTAAGTGGAATAATATTACAGAAAATTTGAGGAAATCCACCCACAGTCACATCAGAGTTGAACAGGATCACAAAAGAGGAGAGCATATGATAACAAAGTACTAATGTGTCTTTTTGTGGCAAAAGAGAAATGGGATTTCATTTTAACTTCTCTGGAAATAACGATATTTTTTAATTTTCATTCTAGTCTGAGACCAGAGACATAAAAAGTAGTCATTATTCCACTGTTGCAACTGACGTGCTGCATGTTTTCTTGGATAAATACCTGAGGAATCATTTTACTTTTTCTATGTTTAAATTTCAAATAAGACTGCCAATTACAGTTTTTTTTTTAATGGTTGGACGATGGCAGGTTATGATCTCACACACATTGGCCAAAGCCAGTGCCAATGCCAATTCTGTCTAATAGTTGGGGAATCTAAAAATTATTATCCAACATTATTCGCTCTTATTAACCCTCTATTGCATAATGATGCCGATTGGCATCAAAACAATTTTTGAGAACATGAATAGAGAACAATTATTTTGAGTGCATCTGTTGCCCAATGATGCCGAAGGGCATCAAATCTGTATCTCACAGACCATTGCTCCCCCCCAAAAGATTCAGTGAAATAATTTTTTTTAGAGTTCCAACTAAATTATAATTGACAAATGAAATTTTACTGCCCACATTTTCTTAATTCATGCAATAGTGAGTTAACTTCTCACTCCAGGTTTAACAATTTATGGCTGAATCTCTGTGCAGTTTCTTTTATGCGAGGGAAGGTCGGAAGCACGAGTGAGTTAAGTGGTCAACATTGGTCAATGTGGCAGGATGCTCAGTACTCATGCAGTCGCTGCAGCACAGAGCGCCTCAAGCTCACGCTTCAATCATTTAGTTTCTTTTTTCTTTATGAAGGGACGCAAGAAACCAGTGCGTAATTTCAATGAAGTAGAATGGGGGGGGGGGTCTGGGAGGCTTGATCCTCTGAATTTTTTTGCAATTTTGACCGAAGTCTTGATTTTTCGGCACGTACAAAAATGCTCTGTTTCTTGCGAAATATTTTGAAACCATGAAGTGTAAAATAACATGCAAGGCCTTGAGGAAAATGAACTGAGCTGCGAGCAGCAGGCAGAAAGTGGTAATTTCTGCATGATGCTTGATGCCAGTATTTGATGCAGATGTTAGATGTTATGGGAGGTTTCTGCATTGGTTTATGAAATTTATATATTTTCGTAACCCTAAGAGATCAGAACCAATGTAAGCCTGCGTTTCACTTTTGAAATAGACATTCCAGCGGAAAGTCTGGTACCTTCATTCGACCTCAGCTGCAGAGAGATTTCATCATGCCATGTACTATTATTTTTTTCCACGTGGAAGAGGCTGGAAGTACCTGTTCCTTGAAAAGAGACGGGGAGTCCGGGGCTGGAACGTTTTCACACCAGCACGTTTTCCTTATACAGTAGAACCTCGCTTATCCGGGCCTCGATTAACCGGTGATCGGATTATCCGTGCGTCTTTGTCGTCGACGTTTTTTTTTCGATACGGCCCTCTTTCGAGACGCGGTATGTGTACTGTATGCAATCATGTGGGAGGGAAAGCAAGAGACTACCAGAAACTCAGAAGACAAGAAATCCAGCAAAGGTAGGATTAGTATTTTATGAATAAATCGCATTTTTGTTAATATACCATAGCATTACATCGTTTTTTTTTCTAATTCTGGATTATCCGTGGTTTTCGATTATCCGGCGAAGGTCTCCCGGTCATTAGCCCGGATAATCGAGGTTTTACTGTATTTATACAAGGGAAGGAGAGGTGGGCATTGTAGTTGGTATCAACATTGTGAAAACCTGCCAATGGCTGATGATATTTATGATGCCATGTCAGTAGCCGATGCATTGGTATAGCTCGAATTTCTAGACACGGACTCTGATCTAGTACTGAATATTTTGACACTTGCGGTGGTCACCTTGATCACCTTCCCCACACTGTGCCCCTGTATTTAGGTGATATTTCAAGAATTTAGTTTTTTTTTATTTCCACAATTATTTGAATTTAGTCAGTACGTTATTATTTCAGTGCTTATATACAAAAAATGATTGCAGTGGATCATATTCCTTTTACTAATGAATCAGACTCAATAAGGCAACTGTGACTTGTAATATGCTCTTCCATTTCTCTTGGTTGCTCTGCAAAAAAAGCACGTTTTTCCAGCGATAAATTTGGTTTAAATTTCTTCAGCTCAGCCTTTTCTAAAATATAACCTGAAATATGAAGATCGATTTCCAGACTGCTAGATTTTAGAATTACAGACTAGCAAAGGCTTTTTGGGTGCATTTATAATATATGAGCTGGGAGCTGCCATGAACCACAGCTGTGAATTGCTTGATTAGCAGATACTGAGTCCCTCAATCTGCACTTCAATGCAGAAGAATGCAGTCATGAATTTTATCATGACCAATCTTCATATTAATTCTGACTCAACTGAAAAAAGAAGTCCATACAGATAAAAGACCTAGCTTGGATGGAAAGTTAGTATTTGTACTTGGTAAAAACTAAATTTTTTTACTTAAGAAGCAATATTTTGGGACAAGGCATGGGTTCCTTGTCATAGCATGAAAGTTAAATGAATTTGATTCTCATAATTATTTCAGACTGTGAATTGAACGTTCACAAGTGGTGTGTGCGTGAGGTGGAAGAGGACTGTGTTGGAGCCATGCATAAGCCTGACAAGAAGTCTCGGGATCGCATCTCCAACTTCTTCCGTCTCTCTGATTGGCAGGAGGGAAAGCGCAAACCCAGCCACCTGTCAGCTTCACACAGTAAGTTCTTTAACCCATTTGCTTGCCAATTACCTTTTCTAGAGCTACCAATAAAATGCCATTTAATTTGATTAAAATTTGCTAGCAACACTTATATACTAATTATCACCCACAAGTGCCCACTAAGTTCAGTTGTGTTGGACATAAATCATACCAATACACAAGTTGACTCCAGACCATCAAAGGAGCAATTAAGTAAGCCAAGCACAAGTAATGTCAGGCTGTTGATTTGATGGCTAGGAAAGTGGCTGGGCAGAATTTGGCATGATTCTCACATAGAATTTTAAATTTAGCTTTGCTTGGCCATGTGCAGTATTTGCAATGAAGAAGTCAATATTAGTGTGGCACAGAATTATAAATGTGGTAGCACCTTGAAATAAAAACCATGGTGTAGAATGGACCTCTTCAATACCAATTTTCATCCTATAACTCATTTCCATGTTCATTCTTGTACTCTGAAATCAATATATACCCTTTGCCTGCTGAAGGCTTACCCAAGTTCACAGGGTTTCCTCAGTCTTCATCCAATATTTCCTTAAGAAGTTGGAGTCAAAGTAAATCTTATTAATATGCTTGGTGAAATTGCCTTTGCAGATGAACATGAATTGTTTAACCCTTTGCAATCCTTTGTCCTACTGGGTGGGCCATTGGTAAAGCATTCTAAAAAAATGGACCACAAAGGGTTTAAGTCTCTTTGTAACTCCCATAGACCCCTTAGTATGGTGGTGCATGGAGGTTCAGATGAGGGTGAAAGTTTTCTTGCTAGGTCAGCCTATGTTCTTTGTAATCAGAGGATACCACATATCTTTCACAAAGGGGTCCCTGAAACATGGGTGGTACAGTATAAGTGTATTATACATCAAATTGAAGATTATTCAGTTCTGCATTCATCTCTCTAATTCACTTTCAATATAAAATTGCTGGTCTAATTAGTGATATGACAGACCAAAGATTTCTCTTCTATTAATGAATGTGGTGCCTGCATCACTTTCAGTTTGTAATGCAGCACTTTCAACTCAGCAAGTTAACAAATCTTTGTTATGGTACCCTGTCACGTATGTATAAAGAACATAGGTTGAACTAGCATAAGGCCTTCTGGACTTATTCAGAAAGTAAGGTTCTCTTGTGTTACTGTTGTAGGTTACACCTCTTTGGAGGAATATGTACTGATGTACAATCAAAATTTCAATTTAAAAAATGCTTTCTATCTAATATGTATTGAGAACTAGGGCAAAAACTGCTGAGGTAATTCCCATATCTGGGGTATTGCTTAAATACTCTTGCTCATCTATTCTCAGCCTTTTCTGTTCGCTTCATGTAACAATATTTTTTTACCTTCACCCTTGCACTTTCATGGACCTCCATGCTTAATAATGTAGGCCTAATTAAAATTAAGAAAACCAGGCCCTCTGATTGCATTTATGAAGGGTTTATTTTAAACTGTCAATTAGCAAGAGTTTCATTTCAAGAGGATTAATTCAAGCTTAATTTTTTATTACACCTCAATGCAATACCAGTGCTTACCTCTGAATGCATAGAAACTCCAGAGCAGTTGAATATTTGAAGTGGCCCAGTATCATTTATATGGGATCTGAACTTGCTTTTTTTATATACCCAGAATAGGAGAAGGTAGAGAAACATATGTGGTAGTAAATGCAATCACGATCTTCATTTCAGCAATGGTGTTGATTTAAGCATTCTTTTTTTATTGATACTTTTCTTATAAAATCATGTTAAGGGTACACAATTGAATCAATTTTGATCAAAAGAGACCTATATTGGATATTTCTGGCACACAGTTTATTAAGCCTTTGAGGAGTAGGGGAGCGGCACCAGTTTGCGAACGGATCCAGTTAACGAACGAGGGTCATGAAATGCGATTTGGTCTTTTGTTTCTCGAGTTACACGCTCCAGCTTTTGGTATCTGCAGAAAATGGATTGATTGATTAATTAATGCTTGGGATGGAGAGTGAAACTAGAGTANGTTACACGCTCCAGCTTTTGGTATCTGCAGAAAATGGATTGATTGATTAATTAATGCTTGGGATGGAGAGTGAAACTAGAGTAACAAAAGGCCAAATCGCATTTCATAACCCTCGTTCGCTAACTGGCTCCCTGTTCGCGAACTGGTGCCGCTCCCCTATGCCCATATATATACGGCTGATGTCCTGCTCTCCACATATTCATTATGGGGGATCATGCAGGCGTGAAAAAAAAACACACATGGTTAATTAAAAGAGAGAACTGAAGTCAGAAGTCTCATATTTTGAAACAGGTTCCTTCAGAAGTAGCATTCCACCATAAAGTGTAATTGTGTAAAATTACACCAGTTAAAGAGGATTGTAGCCTTCTTGGGTGATTGCCTTTGGAACAAAAAAAAATTCAATGCTCATGGCACCCATCTGCCTCTTGCTGCAACTCTGAGTGTCATGGCACACTTGCTAAGAACTGCTGTCCTAGCTCTTTGAATTTACCTCACAGGGATCTCACATCCCGAACTCATATTCTGGCATTCCTAAAGGACTTCAGGAGTATTTAACTGATGTGAACATGTGAGGTAGACATGGAATCGCCCAAAAGAAAACATTGTTTCTGGAGCAAGGAGCAGAGTTTTGTATTTTCCTTTTAAGATTTAAGTAAGAATAGCTTCACAGGGATGATACAGACTGTCTATGACTGCTTCATGCAAAGGTACCTTCTCCAAAGTTTAAAGTATTGAATGACTGTCTCATGATTATGTCTACACAGGGAGTACTTACACATGAAGCCTTGCCTCCTTGGTTTCAGGGCTGCGATTTCACATGATACTTTTTATTTTTCTGTACATGAGGATGCAATGAACCTTGTGGATCCGGACAGCCATTATTTGTGACTAGAAATTCTCACTCCCAACCTTTAACTCTATAGGCCTAACGTTGAAAAATATATCTGCTTTATCCAGCCAGTCTGAGAGCAGCGGCTGAGGGTTTGCAGACTTTCTGTGCAGACCACTCGTTAGATTGACCGAAAAGCAGAAAGAAAATCGAGAGAACATTCATGTTCATTTCCTTTTCCCTTTCATTTCCTCGCGTTGACGTCAGAATTCAGAGAAGTAGCTTCCAATCTCCCTCCCGCTAGCATCAATATTTTTTCCTCGAATCGGTAGGACATTTGACTGACATGGCCACATTTCTGCAGTTTCAATAGTGAGAGAAAGGTCATTGGTGTATTGACCTGCCACTTTCGATGCCCACCCACATAGGTTGGAGAGGGGAGGGGAGATCCTCTCTTTATAACGGTCACTTATTTGTACGGAACAAAATTAGAAAGCCCCCTTCTGACCGCATTACACAGGTTTTACTGGGTTGGTTTTCAAAGTGTACGTGGTACTAGGAGGCACATATCAAATTGCCTGTTAAAAATTGCAGAATGGGTGTTGTCTCCTTTTCAGTTTTATCAAATTTTCCCTGTCCTTTTTTTATCATATCCAGTTGAAAAAGCCAGGTTGCAGTGGGAGGAAAAGGAAGAAAATTCATCTCTGGGATCTGCTGCTACCGACTCTGCTGCTGGTGAGTCACATTTTCGAAGTAGTGGCTAACAGCACTTTCATTGTGCTGAGGCAGGAAATATAGTTACTACAGGAACAGGAAGTGATAGATATTTGGGAGAAGACGTGCTCCTGTTTGAGATAATCTTACGGGAAAATTGAGTAAATACACCCACATTCAGAGGGATTTGATCCTGCATAGAAAGAGAGCCAGCGCAAATAGCAATTATTTTTGCCATTTTTTTCTCTGATGCGCAGGACGAAAGAAAAATAGGATTTTTCCTCCTCATGTTCTGGAGACTTAGCACCAAGAAAACAGGACTTTGTTGGTGCGAATGTCATGATCCACTGGGTCGTTTTTGATTGAAGATGATTGAAAATGAAGGAGTCTCTTGTTTTCCCTGTCTAAACTTAGATTATATTCGCTCTTGACATTTGAAAAGCGGACTCGTATTTCATTTCTGCTTAATAGCCGTACCATGAATACTTGACTATGAGCGAACGAAAGGCAACCCATGTTTTCTTATAGCAGGACTTTGTCAGCGCAAGTGCGCGAGTCTTGAGCCAGCGAAAGGAAAATTATTGCTAGTTGCTATCAAGCCGTCACTGGCAGTGGAAAAACAATTGAATACCCATTTCCCGTTCGTTTTCTGGCAATTGAATGCTGGTGAAAGCAGAAAGTACTTCCAGATATCTTTTCGGATTCTTGCCCGTGCTCTTACTATGGCTGAATAATATTCTACTTTCTCACGCGTGAAAAGCCCAGAGAAGCGCCAGAATAAGCCGTGAAGACAGATCGATGTGGAATCACGAGCCAGGTAGAACCTCGGTTTAACATATGGAAGCATTTATTTTGTCTTCCTCGATGCTGTAGATGGAAGGGGGAAAACATAGGGGATAATGTATAGGCATTGTTGACAAATTGAGAGAGACCCCGAGCGCGTGGAACAGGTCCCTGTCGAGGTGCAGTACTTGCCAGCTAAAACACCTGGGGTGAATCGGTGGGAGTCTATCTCGGACGAGTTGGTGGTTGTCTGTCTCCATTCCAAGAGTCTCAAGCATCGCAGTAAGCATCGCGGTGAGAGATTACTGGGGTCTGCCAGGCGCCAGTCTTGTTCCGCGCGTTGACATCCACCTAGGCAATACTTTCCTCACCTGGGTCTCTCATTCTCTCGCCGTGTATTTTCATATTTTCTCCTCAAGGACCAAATTGCGGGGTTGCGAAGCAGCGTTTTTTGCTTTGTTAGGTTGACGGACTGCGGTTTTCCCACACTACGTCCCCTTGACCTGGTTGTTTCCGTTATGGTGATCCCTTGCGAGTTGTATGACCTGCTGCAGTTTGTTTCTGTGGAAGAGGTCTGTTGCAAACGCTGACGGGTGATAATTACTGTTTGCAGGGATGTTGTTACCCTGAAACAAGGGAGAGTGGTTCAGTGACTTGAGATGGTGCTCTTGGCATTGAAAACGCAGGACGAGGGAGAAAGTTGGCCTCGTCCCAAGCCTGCCCTGTGCTACGACCTCACTCATTTACTCTGCGACCCTGTAATTACTGGAAAGAAAAGCAGGATCTTTATGTTCACGGTTCCTAAGGTTTAGAGAAAGGAACAGATTTCCAAATCTCTAGAGGCTCGTTTAAAGGGCGATAAAAATCCAGTCTCGCTTTGTGCGTATTTGCGCCGTTGGTTTCTTGTTCTTGGTGCAGCCTGCCTTGGTTTGTTTATTTTGGTCATCCTGAATGTGGATTTCGAACAGTGGCTCCCCGAGTCGCGAACGAAGGTCGGAGAAGATCCCACATGCATACACACGTACACCCCCACACGTGACTGGCGAGTGTCCGTGGACCTTGGGAGTGAGATATGAGGGCGAAGCCATAGGACGGGACGAGACGAGACGAGACGAGAATGAAGGATCTGATTCGCATGCATTCCTCGCAGCCCGTTGTCTGCGGGGGTACCTGGGTATAGCTCATTCCCAGTTCACGTGGGTGGGTGGTGGGGATGGGGGATGGATGCTGGTCTAGTGACTGGGAAGACTCTCCGACCTCCCCCCCCTCCCTCGCACATGCTCTTCCCTTCGTCCCGTCCCACTGTCGGTGGTTCCGTTCCGTCCTGCTCTCCTCCCTTTCCTCCTCTTCACTCCCCTCTCAACAGACACGTGTTGAAGGTCCGGTCCCGGAGTCGCGTTTCCTTCGCCCACCGGAAGCCGTTGCGTCGATTCCTTTGCGTTCGGACGGAAGCCAGGCAGGTCTCGGGAGCTGCGCGTGTGACATACATGACACCGTGTGCATGTGCCAATGTGCTGTGCTGTGTGTGCGTGCGTCGCGTTGGTTCATTCCGTTTCCCAGCACTTGTTCACTGGTCTCCTTGTCAGACTGCTATTTTGATTCCGTGTATGTGACTGACGTACATATCGTGGTTGGTGGCTTGTATCCTGACCTTCAGATCTCGGTTTTTCATAGATAAGATTATGGTCGCACCTGGATAGACGTGACTTAGTGTTCATCCCCGATTCTTGCAGTGATTTTCTTTTTGTGCTCTGGTATCAATCAATCACTACTGACGTATCAGGGTGGATTTTGAGGACAGACGATGTTTTTACAAGATTGGTTGAAGGAAGCGGAAATTCTCCATGTTTTTAGGCCTATTCAGGGTCATGAAACGTAACCCATGCTCATTGTCCACAGGGAGGGAGTATAGCGTTCCCCGAACCGAGTCAATGGTTCTTGTCGCCGTGTTATATTATTATTTATGCGTTTGGGAAGGCTGCTTGCCTGTAGTCCTCAATAATATATCGTCCTTCACGACTGTGACATGTGAATGCCTTGCATTTTACTTCCCGATTAGGAATACCATTGTTTGTTTCGTTCTCGTGTCATGTTCGTCAGTCCCATTCGTCGCGTCAACCTAGATCCCTCTTGTTAGCAACTTGGCTGTAGGGTTTGTGGGTCCTGACCAATAGTCCGCGTTCTGAGAGTCCGTGAAGTCGATGGAGGAAGGAGTTGAGGGGTTATGAGCCGAGGCCGAAGAGGGATGAGGATGATATTTCGGGAGAGGGAGGATTGGCAGCTGAGGAATTGGATCTGGCTGACTCAACCTGGTTTTTTTTCTTTCCCCTCCACTTGGTTGAATTTCTCTGTCGCTTAGGATTTCTCTCGCGTTTCTCCTCACCGTGAAGCAGGAATTCTGTGTGATTCGCATAACTTCGTCCAGCATTCATATTTGTTGGATCCCCCCCCCGCCGAAGTTTCCTACTGAGTCAGAGCGTTGCAGCAAGACCTTTCGTCTTCCGTAAGGTTCGCTTAGACCATGTGGGCGATTTAGGGAGGCAAGCGGGTTGCACATCTGGCTTTTTTTCGGGGAATGGGAGCGGAAACCCTTACCGATTAGACTACGGTATGTTTGCAGACCCACTTACCCAGGCAAACACAGAAAGAACACGGAATCATGCCCACTACTTGCTCCTAGCATAATGAATTTCCGCGCGGATGGGATCGATCAGTGAATTAGCAAGGAATGGACCCAGGGGACCCATCTATCAATCTTCGTCACGAATCATCGGAATCCGGAAGCATTCGTGATTTGCTGGGACAATGTCTCCGAGCTGCAGTTAGAGAAGAAAAAAAAAACCGGACCCAGAGCTGCATGATAAAGGAGGGGGGGGAGGGGAAGGAGATTGTCCGAGGTCCTGTAGTAGTTTTTGGTAAAGGGCCGCACCCAGGTTACCCCCTGGTGTGGAGTGAGATGAATGAAGACTCATGAGAGAATCCATTGCCAAGGGACTCATTCCTAATATATATCTTGTATTAATCCAAGGTTACGGATAAGGAATAGGGAATGGGACTCCCTCCTCTGTGGACGTGATGCGTGGGAAACGGTCTCTCGTTCGTCTGTTATGTTTCTACCTCCATACTCATTACTCTTACGGATTAGGAGGTTTTCTTAACGCGACATATGCGAATCTCGCAGGTTTTTGCAATCTCCCGCGTGCCAAACGCGCCTGTGCGTACGACTTACATGTGCATGTGTGTGCGTGAGTGACGAAACGAGTCTCAGGCTCGTCACGGTGCACGCTGAGAGGAACTCTCACACCGTCGCCCGTCGCAACCAGTGCGTCACCGTCGTTTGTCGCATCCCAGAGAGCGAGAGCATAGGTCTCGCTTGATGTGGCTGGGGTTGAGGATGGGAGAGTTGGGAGCCGAGGATGGACCTGGGCCTGGTTTGGTTGATCCCCTCTGGAGGTCCCCTCCAGTTCCTCCCCCCCCTCTCGTCATCAAGAGGAATAATTCCTTCAAGCGACTCCTCAAGAGACCTCTCTTCGGCACATATTCAGGTAAAGACAAAAATTAAAACAAAGGAAACTGGTAGCTCTCGGGTCTCGAGATCCATGAGTTCACTGCACCATTTGTCAGAATCCTGCTTTCGGATGCAACTAATGTTCCAGTTTCACCTGGACTCTCCTTCACACCGCAGCTGTTGAACTTCGAATTGTTTCATTTGATCTTCTCGAGCAGTAATTGTGCTCTGATAATCGATTAAGGGCCGAATAAAAAACAGCGGAGGATATGATGTCACGGGGATTTCAGTAAAAAAAATTACCATATCTCATCAGGGGTTGCTGACGTCAGAGTTTGTTGTCACCGCCTTGTGTACACGTAAGAGTGAAAAGAGTGGGATTTAGATCTTTTCTATATTTAGAAGATGCAATAAGGTGTGTCGTGTTTAGCCCTCCCCCGCCCTCCCCCCTCCCCCCCCTTCTCCCAACTTCCCACTTGGAGGTGAAGGTGATTCGTCTCCGTCTCCAGGGGTGATGAGAAACGGCATTAAGTTTCCCCCTTTCATTATCTTTCTTCCACGTCTCATCTAGTCTTGTCTTCCGATTTCTGCAGATACAGTGCTGAGTCTTTCCCCTAACGCATGCAAAATTCATTATCCTCCTTTCTGGATGTATCCATTGGTAGATTGGTCTTCGTTCCCATGGCAACATCCTCGAGAACCCTTAGTTCTTTTCTCTTCGATGATTGCTTGAGGTCTTTCTTGAACGAAGAGAATCGAGGATGCTTTCGTATACCGGGTCATGGGTCGCAATCCTGGATCGTACGGGCCATTATGAGATTATTTCATACAGGCGGTTAATATTCCATATGCTTTCTCCGATTACCTCGTGCATGCGCCCAAGTTTAGCTATTATGATCCCTACTTGAAGGGATTATGATTATTGGAATAATACAGGATCCGGAGGATTGCGGAGGTGGGGATGATGAGGGAATAAGTCGAATGGGGTTGCTTTGTTTCCATGTAACCTCCAT